TCGTCCGGGAATCCGATCTTGCCTAGCCAAACTGGTACATCGCTTTCTGTGCCGACCTCGTCGAACCTTGGCAAACCAAAGAGTAAACATCTATTGTCTCAATGCTTTGATACGACGAACAACACGACTTCGAAGGCGGAAGATCCTCATCAGGAGATCGCTGACTATTTCAAGTGTACGTTGATTTCGAGCTGGACTGGCGCTGACGATGAAACAGGTGACATTGACATTTTGTGTTATTGGAAGGAGAAACAGTTTCACCTGCCAATGTTATCGACGTTGTCGAAACAAGTCTTTGCAATACCGGCGTCGAATACCGTGATCGAACGATTATTCTCCGCATCGAAGAACACGGTTAGCGACAAGCAAACGAGCTTGGGTGGTGAGAAAATCAATAAATTGCTCTTCCTGCAGAAAAATCTGTCCACGTTGAGAGAACTGCGCGATGAGACCAGCAGGAAAAGAACCGATTAATGTCATCGATGACAACGATCTCATCCGAAGGTTCCATGTGTACGGCGGCAAAACAACGACTACTCGACGATGAGGACAGCTACAGCAATTCAGATGGCGATGTACTATTCGATTGACATTGTCGTGCGACTGTTCGTTCATAACATGCCAATCAGACACAGCCTGTACATATTCTTTGACACTCGACTATGAGAAACTGATACAACTGATGTTCTCTTTACGTTCTTTTTTGTATCCATACGTGGAGGAAATAAAATGACTCAGGTGATAAAATTGAAAATATTTAGGGATTTCTTGGCGGTGTTGACTCCGGTTTAAACTCCGAAAAATTCTTCTCGATAAGCTCCGACTCCGACTCCGAAAACTTCAATTCGACGGTCTCCGACTCCGACAACGACTTCGAAAATTTTGCGATCGTCCCCTCCGACACCGCCTCCAACTCCGTCGGAGTCGGTGTCACCGTCGGAGTTCGGTGTCACCGCAGGGCCCTAACCAAATGGTGTCACGAACGCAGTTTTTTCTTTGTCGGCCTCTCTGATTGGGATTTGATAGAATCCTGATTTAAAATCTAGTCTGGAAAAATAATTGTATCCTTTTCCCAATTTTCTGATAGTTTCTCCCATATTCGGCATTGGTGATGAATCTTTGATTGTTACACGATTTAACTTTTTAAAATCAACTACTAATCTCGTTTTTCCATCACCTTTGTCAACTAGCATGGCTGATGCTGCATATGGAGAGGATGATTCAGTGATCAAACCAGCTTTTAGAAATTCCTGAATTATATTATATAGTGCTTCTTCATGTCTTGGTTGTGGATACGGTCGACATGCTGGTGGTGAATGTGGCACTGTGTTTATTATATGACTGATTGGTGTTTTCGCAATGTTG